AATTTTGAGAAATGATATAGATAAAAGAGTATTTTCAGAATATCAAAGAGGAGGAGAAGTAATAAAAGTTAGAGTAGAAATCAATGAAATTGAAATCAAAATAAACTGGAGAAAAGCCAGAGAAGTCATAACAGGTTCATTGACACACACTAGAAAATTGATGAACTTTTAGGCAAACTACACAAGGAAAAAAATGAGATGACACAAGTTTCCAATATCATAAATGAAAAAGAGTTATCCTTTCTAATCCTGTGGCCATTGAGAGTAATAATTATCTAACATTCCTGTGTGGCCACAGATTGAACAGCTTTTATGAAATTGGCAAACCCTTTGAACAATATATAGTGAAGGAATAAATAATGGAGATAGATTTGTCATAGATCATGTGATGGCATGATACATATATGCTTTTCTCCAAATTCATGACAGTGTCTACATTATATATGTACAACATTTTGTCTATCAGAATTTATAAAAATTGGTTTAGAAAAACAGATGGTAATGTATTATCATTTACATAAATACATGGAGGAAAACCATGTATAATTTAATTCAGAAATTTATAAATTTAAATTTCCAATAAACATTCATCACAACAAAGTAAAAATATGTATTTCTAAATGCAAAATTATGTTGTTATTTTTAATTATTTCTGTTAAAAGAACAGCAAACCAGATAATATCTAGTAGTAGAAATTGTTTTGAAAAACGAAAGATCTTATAAATTTTAATAAATTTAAATAATACATGTATTCTGGAGGCCATATATTCCACATGTATCAAAATCCTTACATTTTCACATGACATTTGACACAAAAATTCAAATGACAAAAATTTGTATTAAGAAAATAATTTCAAAAGAGACAAAGTGTACATATAAATATAAATGTGTACATTATATATAGATAGATAAATCTTTAGATAGATATCCAGTGGATATATTAACATCAACCCATAAATAGCTGAGGTTTCACCATAGGCATTTAAATAATAACTATATTTTAATACCAAAAAATCCAATATAACAACTATAATAAAGATAGCTAACCTATGCTGAATACTGTGTCAAGTACTTTTCTAAGCTTGATATATTAACTCAATTCTCTCTCTCTCTCTCTCTCTCTCTCTCTCTCTCTCTTCCTCTCTCTCTCTCACACACACACACACACACACTCATACCCACACATGCAGAATGATTTAAGTATTTTACAAAGGAGAAAAACACTTTTTCTAAGGACGCATTGCTAGAAATTGTGACTGAGATACCCACTCATGAAAAAGATGATTCAATTTGCGTTTTAAGTGAACCAAAAAATATATGCCTCTGTATATAGAAAATCTTTTATTAAAAAAGCAAAAATATCCTTCCACACTTGTCACACTTATATACAAGAAGGCTTTTAACATCAGTGTAAGGAGAGACATCTTCAATTCATTGATTATCACATTTCTGAAGTGAATCAATCAAATATTTAGCATAGAACAAAGACTGTTGGTTTTAATATGTGATACAACACATGATTTACTTTGATGTCTGCAATATTCATTCTTGTCTCTGAGTAAAGAGAAATGGCATCTTGTCTACTTATCTTGTCTGTTGGTTATCTAGCAGCAGCATAGGTTAGCTAAACTTCTACCACACACTTTACAAATAAGACTTTTTCAAGCAGGTGCTTTATAGTTTAGACAGCTGGACTTTTAAAGAATTTGGGGGATAAAATTTGAAGCAGTGTTTGGCCTCAGAATAAAGACTTTGCCCTCTTGACCACAAAAGAATTCCATAAGTAGGCATATGCATTTATATATGGATCAGTATTGAATTTAAAGTTGTTTTACTTTGTGGAAATGCTTGGGTTTTCTTTGTCCTCAATTCTGCAAATCTGCATAATTACAAAGTTTGATATTTCTTCTGTTGATATATACTTGAATAAAACCCTTAGTAGAAAATTTAATTCATGTCATAAGAGTGAAGCAGTGCTTACAATTATATATTACTATAGAAAATGTTACCTCAAAAAATATGGTTTCAAACAATATAATTTTCCACTTTTGTGGTTAGGAAAGGACCTGGTTAAGCTTCCTATGGAGTGGGCTGAGAGTTCCATCAGTTTTCAGCTTCTGGTCCTTCCTTCAGTGTTCTGATGAGGAAGGTCAAGATAAATGTCATTCAGATTTGAGAAAAGTCTCAAAAATATTTTAATAATCAGGTTTTCACAGCAAGATGAGTCTCAAAAATATATTAAATTGTAACTGGTCGAAGACCCAGAAATCTCAAACCACAATCTGGTGTTATCATTGAATTGTCACTTTCAACAATAAGATAAAGTAATATCAGCTTTTTATAATGATTATTAAATTATATATCCAATCATGCCAAACTATTTTTCATTTTTCCTATAATATAAAGTGGTTTAATAAATATTATGAATTTTTTGGCAAGCAGACTGTGAAAAGCATTATGAAAATTACACATGTATTAGACATATTTTCATAATTAATTCATATGGTCAATTATGCTTTATGCTCAGGCAGCTGTTATACTTACATAACTTACATTTGACTCTCTTGAAACTTTTAATATATTCATTTCTACTTACCAAAAAATAGCATATAACAATGTAGCATAAAATAGGACCTGAGATTTTGAGAAATTTGAATAAAATACCAGAACCATTTTTAATTCAATCTTTCCCTTCATGTCTTTACTTATAACCTCAGGCAGAAATACATAGCATGATTAGAAACTATAACCTTTTAGTATGTTCTGCTTGCACATTTTAATCTTTGGGGGCATTTAGAAGTTTGGCAGCAAATATTATTTTAGTGATAGTTTTCCTACAGTTTTTGTGATCTTGATAAGTTTATCCTTCCATGTATCAAATTCATCAAGTAAACTAGTAACAATTAGGAGAATTTTCCAACCCTAGCATTAAGTATTGCATAAACATATGGTACATCTTCACTTTTGCTTTTTATGACAAAATTTTAATTTGTAAGTTAATATGAATTGCTTGCGTTGTCATATTTGATTAAATAAAATTTTCTATTCACTCGTTTTTGCCTCTATTATTAGATTTAGAATGGTAAAATTAAAAATAGAAGTTTTTAAATGTATTCTTATTTTATAAAACCCACCATTTGCAAATGCATTATGCTTAGCTGGCAGCGAAATTATAAATCTAATGAACCTTATTATAAATCATAAGCATAGGAAATCATAAACAGACTTTTTATTTGTTTTTGTAGTACTGGGGAGTGAACCCAGGGCTTTGTGGAAGCTAGGCAAGCATTCTACTACCCAGCCACATCTTCAACCCCACAATGGACTTTTAAAGCAAACAATCTTTACATTTGTCTATGCATAAAATTTGCAGAGAAATTAAGAAAATTCACTATTAATTATATTTAACCTTTGGTCAATATATTCTTATGCAGAGTGATTTCAAATTGAATAATTTGTCAACAAAAAAGAATATTTAAAATAAAGATCAGTTTTGAATAGGATTATTGACATGACATGTTTGAAATATAATACTCTATATTACTAGCTTTTAGAATGTGCACTAGATAGTTTTAGAGTAAAACACGGCATATGAATAAATAATAACAGCATTGTATTCATGGTTTTTATCTTTGCTAATCTTTATTCTATACATTGTTATTGCCATGGCTATTATTTATTTTTAAAGAACATTTCCTATTCCCAGACGTAACACTGAAGATAAGGTCTTCTGTTATTCATGTCAGCAGCACACTTACCAAAATTGAAACAAAACAAAGAAGGTTAGCATGGAAACTGGTGAAAGTATGATAGATTGGTGAAGTATACCATATTTTAAATGTAATAAGACTATTCCACAAATCCAAAAGCCAAATGTTTTCTCTGACAGTGGAAGCTAAGCCACAATAAAGGGCAGGGGGAGAAAAAAAAAAGTTAAGTGGATTAGACAAAGGGGAATAAAGGGAAGGGAGAGGAGATAGGAAAAGGAAAGACAGTAGGATGAATCTGACATAACTTTCCTATTTACATATGTGAATACATCACAGTGAATCTCACCATTATGTATAAGGACAAGAAATTAATGAAAAAGTAAAAATAAAAATAACTATGGGTAAATGGTAGAAAGATAAATGAAAGGAAGTGAAAGGGTGTGGGGAAAGGGAAGGGGAAGAAGAGCTACTGGGGTCAAAATTAGGATAAGATATATTCTGTGCTTGTATAATTATACGAAAATGGACTCAAATGTCATGTGTAACTAAAAGGAAACAACAACTAGGATTCCATATCTAGTAAAATCACTCCTGTTACCCAACTTTTCATAATTACAAACATTGTAGACAAAGATCTCTCCCAGCCTTTGTGCACAACACCCACAATTTCTCCTAACTCTAATACACTGATAGAGGTCTGGACTTGCATTCAGCTTCTGGTTTCAACACAGTGATAATGAAACACAGCTGACTGAGCTCTGATTTTCTTTTCTTTATGCCCCCAGGAAATGCAAGAGTGAGTTGAACAGGCTGTGGGGCACACTGGGTTTAGAGAATGCAAGGAATAAGGAACTTGGTCAGTTAGTTCAAAAGCTATTCTCACAGCAACAGAATATTTGGTGATATACTCCAAAAAGAGGAAAATCATTTCCTGCATAGGTATTTCACCTGCTCTGAACTTTAAATATTGCAATTTCACTGATATAAATTGATCTTTACTCTCCCTCAAAACTATACTAAAGGTTCTTGGGTTTGAATGCTATCCTGACTTATACCTCTCACTTTTCCATTTATTATAATTAAAGGCTGATTTGACCTTGAAGTTCTCAGTTTTGTGATGGGTTTTTTTACTCTCCTGTACTGTCTTGCATGGCATTTAGATGCTACCATTTTAGTTACAATTAAGGACAATTTTATTATGAAATATCTAACATCTTCTATTCACATATACAAACTAAAAAAAAAAAAAGGGAAACAATGCAAATAAGTAGAATTCTATCAAGCGTCGCCTCCGGAGACGCTTCCCGATAGATGGCTACAGGCCGCGGAGGAGGAGGAGGTGGAGTTGCTGCCCTTCCGGAGTCTGCCCCGTGAGGAGAATGTCCCAGAAATCCTGGATAGAAAGCACTTTGACCAAGAGGGAATGTGTATACATTATACCAAGTTCCAAGGACCCTCACAGATGCATTCCAGGATGTCAGATTTGTCAGCAACTTGTCAGGTGTTTTTGTGGTCGCTTGGTCAAGCAACATGCTTGTTTCACTGCAAGTCTTGCCATGAAATACTCAGATGTGAAATTGGGTGACCATTTTAATCAGGCAATAGAAGAGTGGTCTGTGGAAAAGCATACAGAACAGAGCCCAACGGATGCTTATGGACTCATCAATTTTCAAGGGGGTTCTCATTCCTACAGAGCTAAGTATGTGAGGCTATCATATGACACCAAACATGAAATCATTCTGCAACTTCTGCTTAAAGAATGGCAAATGGAATTACCCAAACTTGTTATCTCCGTTCATGGGGGCATGCAGAAATTTGAGCTACACCCACGAATCAAGCAGTTGCTTGGAAAAGGTCTTATTCAAGCTGCAGTTACAACTGGAGCCTGGATTTTAACAGGAGGGGTAAACACAGGTGTGGCAAAACATGTTGGTGATGCCCTCAAAGAACATGCTTCCAGATCATCTCGAAAGATTTGCACTATTGGAATAGCTCCATGGGGAGTGATAGAAAACAGAAATGATCTTGTTGGGAGAAATGTCATTGCTCCTTATCAAACCTTATTGAACCCCCTGAGCAAATTGAATGTCCTGAATAATCTCCATTCCCATTTCATATTGGTGGATGATGGCACAGTTGGAAAGTATGGCGCAGAAGTCAGACTAAGAAGAGAACTTGAAAAAACTATTAATCAGCAAAGAATTCATGCTAGAATTGGCCAAGGTGTTCCTGTAGTGGCTCTGATATTTGAGGGTGGGCCAAATGTTATACTCACAGTTCTAGAATACCTTCAAGAAAGACCCCCCTCTTCCTGTAGTTGTTTGTGAAGGAACAGGCAGAGCTCCAGATTTGCTAGCTTATATTCACAAACAAACAGAAGAAGGAGGAAGTCTTCCTGATGCAGCAGAGGTTGATATCATTTCAACCATCAAGAAAACATTTAACTTTGGCCAAAGTGAAGCAGTTCATTTATTTCAAACACTGATGGAGTGCATGAAGAAAAAAGAGCTTATCACTGTGTTCCACATTGGATCAGAGGAACATCAGGATATAGATGTAGCAATACTTACTGCACTACTAAAAGGTACTAATGCATCTGCATTTGACCAGCTTATCCTTACGTTGGCATGGGATAGAGTTGACATTGCCAAAAATCATGTATTTGTTTATGGACAGCAGTGGCTGGTTGGATCCTTGGAACAAGCTATGCTTGATGCTCTTGTAATGGATAGAGTTGCATTTGTAAAACTTCTTATTGAAAATGGAGTAAGCATGCATAAATTCCTTACCATTCCAAGACTGGAAGAACTTTACAACACTAAACAAGGTCCAACCAATCCAATGCTATTTCACCTTGTTCGAGATGTCAAACAGGGAAATCTTCCTCCAGGATATAAGATCACTCTAATTGATATAGGACTTGTTATTGAATATCTCATGGGAGGAACCTACAGATGCACCTATACTCGGAAACGTTTTCGGTTAATATATAATAGTCTTGGTGGAAATAGTCGGAGATCTGGCCGAAATACCTCCAGCAGTACTCCTCAATTGAGAAAGAGTCACGAATCTTTTGGCAATAGAGCAGATAAAAAGGAAAAAACGAGACATAATCATTTCATTAAAACAGCACAGCCCTATAGACCAAAGATTGATACAGCTATGGAAGAAGGAAAGAAAAAAAGAACCAAAGATGAAATTGTAGATATTGATGATCCAGAAACCAAGCACTTTCCTTATCCGCTTAATGAATTGTTAATTTGGGCTTGCCTTATGAATAGGCAGGTTATGGCACGGTTTTTATGGCAGCATGGTGAAGAATCAATGGCTAAAGCATTAGTTGCCTGTAAAATCTATCGTTCAATGGCCTATGAAGCAAAGCAGAGTGACCTGGTAGATGATACTTCAGAAGAACTGAAACAATATTCCAATGATTTTGGCCAACTGGCAGTTGAATTACTAGAGCAATCCTTCAGACAAGATGAAACCATGGCTATGAAATTACTCACTTATGAACTGAAAAACTGGAGTAATTCAACCTGCCTTAAATTAGCAGTTTCTTCAAGACTTAGACCTTTTGTAGCTCACACCTGTACACAAATGTTGTTATCTGATATGTGGATGGGAAGGCTGAACATGAGAAAAAATTCTTGGTACAAGGTGATATTAAGCATTTTAGTTCCACCTGCCATATTAATGCTAGAATATAAAACAAAGGCTGAAATGTCCCATATTCCACAATCTCAAGATGCTCATCAGATGACAATGGAAGATAGTGAAAACAACTTTCAAAACATAACAGAAGAGATCCCTATGGAAGTATTTAAAGAGGTAAGAATTTTGGACAGTAATGAAGGAAAGAGTGAAATGGAGATGCATATAAAATCAAAAAAGCTTCCAATCACACAAAAATTTTATGCCTTTTATCATGCACCAATTGTAAAGTTCTGGTTTAATACGTTGGCATACTTAGGATTTCTGATGCTTTATACATTTGTAGTTCTTGTACAAATGGAACGGTTACCTTCAGTTCAAGAATGGATTGTTATTGCTTATATTTTTACCTATGCCATTGAGAAAGTCCGTGAGATCTTTATGTCTGAAGCTGGGAAAATAAGCCAGAAGATTAAAGTGTGGTTTAGTGATTATTTCAATATCAGTGATACAATTGCCATAATTTCTTTCTTCATTGGATTTGGACTAAGATTTGGAGCCAAGTGGAACTTTGAGAATGCATATGATAATCATGTTTTTGTGGCTGGAAGATTAATATACTGTCTTAATATAATATTTTGGTATGTGCGTTTGCTAGATTTTCTCGCTGTAAATCAACAGGCAGGACCTTATGTAATGATGATTGGAAAAATGGTAGCCAAAAAAGTCCCCCAATGAGCAGCTCCGTGGTCTGAAAGGGCAGGGAAACAGCCCAATGAGCATCACCGCAGAGGAGCCAATCAGCTAGATGTTGCTGGGGCCGCTGTGAGCCAATCATCAGCCGGCAGCTGGAAGTTTGCTGGGGCCCCTTCCGCTGTGGCTCTCAACAACTCTGTTATTTCATATGTTAACTTTTAAAATATATATTTTTAAATGATCACTATCAAATACTTGTTATGGTGGTGTTAGTGTATGTGTGTGGGTGTTTGTATGTGCGAGTGTGTATTCACATAAGTCAGTTTGTACCTTAAACTCTATTTTTTAATTTAATAAAAACCCATTCATGTTCATGGATATGCCTGACTATACAATTCCTAGCAGGAAAAAAAAATACCTGTTTATTTTAGAGTTATCTAGAGATCCATGTACCTTCATGCCAAGTGTTCAATTTTAATTAGTAAACAATTAATTAACCTGTTAAAATTATTAAATGAAAAATGTATGAAAAACTAGTCTTTATTGAAAAACTTGTTATTCAAAGAAAATTTGTACTTGCTAATTAGCGTTTAATTCAATTAGCAGGTAATTTTTCTAAACAGAAAGTATTAAAATTTTTTTTAACTCTTAATTGGTACATGAGTAGTTAGTGATATTTATGCCCCCACGTTTAACATGTTAATTTTCTATACACATAAAAGTTGAAATAATTGTACAAGGAGCATCCATTTACTTTTCAACTAGATTCCAAAAGTAAAACCTTACCATTTTTGTACATTGCCTTTCTCATCTATTGTCATTCTAGCCCATCTGAGAAAGCATGACATTCCATCCCTTAATATTCTATCACTACTTCTTAAGGGCTGTCTCCTACAAGTATACAACAGTGACATCAATGTAAAGTGGACACAATGAAAATAACCATCTCATTATCCTATCAGAATTTAAATTTTTCTCAGTAATTTTTAGATTTTGTTCCAGAAATATTTTTATTGAGTTTGATTTAAAAACCAGAATCTAAACGAACACCAAAAATTAGTAACATTGAATGACTTTTAGTTTTGGGTTTTTACTCTCCAATGCATTGATTTCTTGGTCATGTTTACATTTTCATAATTTCAGTGTTGAAAGGTTTCACACTAGTGCTCAATTGTAGTGTTCCACATTCTCAATTTCTCGTATTGTTTCCACACACTTGGCTTGATTCTATATCACTCTATTTTCTGTAAACTGAAAGTGAAGATGCCTACATTCTTGATTAGCTTGTAATGCTTTTTCAAGCATATACAGGATATGAGGTTAAACAATTTTGAACACCTAGTGTTCTTTGTCAAACTCAAATCTAATGATATCCTCAGAGGAAATGAAAAATGATATCTCTTCGGCTGAAGACATTAAAAAAACTTTGTAAGGACCCTTTATTAGCTTAGTTTAGAATCATATTTTATGGGGGTATACTAGAAAAAAGGCTAGCATTTATATTTTAAATAAATTTATATTACAGTCTTTTAAATTAAAGTTTTATTAAATATCTCAGCTTTGGAAAAACACCTTAGATTAATATCATTACATGTCTTACTTAAACCCAGAAGTAAAAAATGTCTTATATATGTTAGGCATGAAATGTTTTGGTACTTTTTCATGATCAGAACATACAGGTTTGCTTCACTTTGCTAAGCAGGTGATATACAATAATTTTCTTTAATGCATGCAGAACAATTCATACAGTTGTTATTTTCATGATGTGCATGTTACTAAGATTGGGTTATATTTGTATTTTTGCCTATTAAAAACAGTCCTAAGATGACAGATATGTCCCTATTGTGCTGCATTCTCATTAAAGTATATTATTAAACATACTTAACTAAAATTTACTAATTATAACAGGTGTAAATTCCATTTATGTCTTATGAATTTTCATAGCATTAATTATAGGTGAGTGAGTATTTATCCAAGTGTTAGAAGCATTTTTATATCCATGTAGGGTGTGTATGGGTGTGTGTGTGTGTGTGTGTGTGTACATGGAGACTAGGAATTATAAAAAAAAAAAAATATATAACAATTGTGTTAATTTTTATTTATTTTTATTTATTTAAATAGATATATATATTTTTCCCGTTTCCATATGTTTTCTACAAATTAATTCCTGGTTTTAATATTAGTTTTAATTAAATTTTAGATGTTTCATTTGTATCTGTAATTTAGTTGAAAAAAAATCTCAAGAAAACTGAATATACTGGGGAATGAGATTGACCAAATTATGTTATGTGCTTATATGAATAAGGCATTATAATCCCCACTATGATGTATAATTATATACACTAATAAAAAGTTTTCAGATTAAAGTATATTATTAGTAGATGTTCTGGGTTATTTTAAAATTATATTTATTATATAATGCCATTATATTCAAATATTCAACTTCAATGATGAAGTTTATTAACATTTATGTTAGGTAAAGCTTATAGTTTTACTTCTTGAAAATCATGACACTTTGGCTCTACTTCTACTCATTAAGAGACATGCAGAACCATCCATGCTCCTAATACACTACGATAAATGTTATATACAAATTTAACTATATTGTGTTTCTGGTCGCCAGAACTCTTTTTAGCTCTGGTAAAGTGGATATTGTTTCTGTCAGTGACCTCTTAATTACCCTCGACTATATGATCTATATAGTTCCACTATGATTCCACCAATGCCAAGTTCAGTGGCACAGTCAATACAAGAACAAGAATCTTGTCATCAATGGGAAACTCACTTTCACTTTCCAGGAGCAAGATCCTACATACATCACATGGTATGGTACTTGTGCTGAAAAAATTGTGTAGTCCACTGGAATCTTCACTACCATGGAGAAGACTGCCATTCACTTCCAAGATGAAGACAAATCATCATCATCTCTGCATCTTTTGCTGAGAACCACTTATTTTGATGGGTGTGAATTCTAAGTAAGGCAACTATTTCAAGAATATCAACAATGGCTACTGTACTATCAACTGCTTAAGCTCCATGGCAATAGTCACCCATGACAAATTGGGCACCACAGAGGGACTCATGATCATAGTTCCTCCCATTGCAGAGGTCCATAAGACAGTGAATGGCCCCTCTGCGAAACTGTGGTACAACACCCTGGGGCTACCAACAATATCATTTCTGAATCCATTGGTGCTGCTGAAGACCACAGACAATTCATCTTTGAGCCAAATGGAAAGCTCACTGGCACTGCTTTCTTCGGATCCACCCCAATGTTCATTTATGGGCATGACCAGTAATCTATATAAAGGTGCCAAATATGATGACAATAAGAAGTCACTTAAGCACATCAGCAAGATCCCTAAAATTCATTCTAGGTTACACAAGGGACCAGGTTGTCTACCGCACTTTGACAGTGACTCTTTGTTACACCTTCAACGCTGCGTCTCTCATTGCTCTCAATGACCACTCTATCAGCTTCATTTAATGATGTGACAATGAATTTTACAACAGCAATAGGGTGGTATAGCCTCCATTCCACATGGCTTCCAGGAAGTATGAACCCCAAGAATTCCAGTCCTATCAAGAGCATTGAGAGGAAGAGAGAAGAGCTCAGCTGCCAGGTGTCCCTAACCTAAGTCAGCCTCACTACACATAAACTCTTTCCCCTTCACAGTTTCTGTTTCAGATCCCCTAAAGAAGGGAATTACTTGCTCATGTTCCATCAATAAAGTCCTCTAAATCTAGCTTAAAAACAAAAAAGAAAGAGCAATATTTTTGGGGGTTATTTAACTAAAAATCCACTTGTATTCTTATAAGCATGAAATTTGTAAGAACACTTTTCATCCTGAAATTTAATTCCATGCAAGAAAGTGACAGATTTATAGATTTGTCAATGTAATAGTTCTTGGACTTGTGTATTGTACAATTACAAATTGTATGCATGTTTTATTTATGTGTTCTGTTCATCATGTTTCGTTTATAAAAAAAAAGAAAATACAAAAACAAAAGTACTCTAGTAAATGCTGATAATCCAAAACCCTGCATTCTTTTTTTAAAACCTTTTTAAAATTATGTTTTGTACTTTTATCAATGTATTTCAATTGTTTATTTTCAATAATCATATTAATAAATTTTTTTAAAAAAATTGAATCCCAATTTTCATATATATTTACAATGGATATTTTAAAATACAGGATACACTTTTTTTCCCATTTTCAATCCTGATGCTAATTTGTATCAAACAGAAGAGAGGAAATACAACTACAGAGAAAAAGAGACAAAGAAAATCTAGTTGTTAGGCGAATTCCTACAACTTAAATGTTGTTAAACAGAGATGGTAAATAAATTATTTGGATTTATGACTTACTTTTATTTGATATGCTTTCATCTTGATATAATAGCAACACAGAGTGAAACTTACTCTTGATTCTGTTTATTCATCTGCATTTTAACGCATCTGCCTGTGACTGATCAGAAATTCATTATAGCCAAGATACATCATTTGAAACAAAATTGGCTACTTTAGACCATGTGAAATTGTAGGATTCTCACAAACATTAGCAGGCCACAAACATAGTTACAGTTATCTAGGTTGAAAAGTTGCTGAATTTTTAAAACCTTTGCTTTTTCTCCCAGGTGTTAGACTACTATTCACAGTTTAAAAACATAAAATGTGTGTTCCTTCCTACGTCTTCACCTTAGGGGGGGCTATTACTCTCCTGTGGATCAATGCCAGTGCCAGACCAAATAAATGATGTTGACTTTCTGATTCATTTCCCAGGATACTAGAACTACAATGCCGTATTTGGGTTGGAAACTCATAAATCTTTGAGGTTGAGTGTAGTGAGATTCCTAAGTGCACACTGTTCTGATAGCATTAAAGATGAGATTTGAAGCTCTCCTGCTGCAACTCCATACTTTATCTGTAGTTGATACTATTGTAAATGACAGGCTAGTGGTGATCTAATCAATAATTTAAGTTTTCTATCCTGGACCAAAATATCTACACGGGAAGAAATT